GATATAAAATCACCTTCATGGTCATGATTTCTATTGTGTTTTCTTCATGAATGATTAATGAGTTGTCTAATCAGTATTAGTCCTTTGGAGAATAATATTTCCATTCCTAGAACAATAGATTGTATGTCACGCGGCATGTCACGCAGTAACTTAAGTCTTTTCCCTCCACCCCTGCGAGTAAATAAAATCTTAATATTTTTGAGCATTTTATCTTGTGAGGGACGGGAGGGTCGATATGCATTTTTGCACATGGGCATTACTTTTCTAGAACAATAGAATTTACGGTCACGTAGTAACTTAAGTTTCCCCTTTCCCTCCCCACCCCTGCGAGTAAATAAAATCCTAGATTTTGCGCATTTTATGTTGTGGGGGAGGGGATGGTTGTGACGCATTTTTGCAAGTGCACCTGATGTTACGTAAACACACTATTGTTTTTATTCTATACTTAAAAGCCCTCTATTAACAATAGATTGAAAAAAATAAATATAAAATCTAAATAATTTGTAATATTTTTCACACTTTTAAGACATCAAAATGAGGAAGTAATTGAGAGGATTTAGATTTTTTTGTAGAGTTTTTCCTGTAGCGAACTACCGTTTAACGATGATATATTATATTATTATACTTGACAGGGTCACTTGAGGATTAAGTTACGGCCGAAGGAAAAAAAATCTTTTTTTGACTGGAAGCCAGACAAAAGACAAACAATAGAGCTTAATGCGTTTAGTGACTGACAAATAACAAACTATTAACCAATCAGAAACCGGGGTTTATGAAATCCTAGTGTTCGACCTTTTTTATCCTACCTTTTCCACCATCAACCACCTCTGTCTGGAAGGAACGTGAAGGCGTCTACGATAAAGATAAAAATGGCTAAAAATTGCACTATCCAGATCTTGAATAAGGTTTGTACTATATTTCATACGCTTTTAGCTTATGCTTCTTGAACCAGGCTTAATTGTTTTAATGCTAAATGTCTGTTTACTCGATTTTTTCTTCTTCTTTTACTTGCTGGAAATCGTTGCAGCGCGAAACTAAGATACTTCTTCCTTGTACGCTGGTGTTTGCATACTCTTCTACTCATGCAACGGATATTTTAACACACATGCAAAGCTTTGAGCAACAAAAATCGCGTATGTTTCACAGATCGAATATAAACGGCCGTGTATTTGGGATTTGACTGTGCACATATTATTTGGGCGTTCAAACGTCCAATCTTGCAAGACCTATCACCGAATATTGTATTTCTCTATGAAATAATCAGTAAGAGAAGAGGCCATTGCTTTCATCTTTTTAACTCCATAATAGAATGTTACTTAATGTCGTCAAAAAGAAAAAAAAAAAAAAAAAAAAAAAAAAAAAAAAAANAAAAAAAAAAAAAAAAAAAAAAAAAAAAAAAAAAAAAAAACGGCTTTAACATATTAGGCAAGTAATTATTGGCAAAATTTAAACCTCTGGAACCGAGTTTCGCATATAGTGGCTGTATGGAAAATATTTAATTTTAAAGGCAAGTTAATATTTAAAAAATGTAAATATTTTCYCGTACGGCCCGACCTAACTCAGTCAATAAGCATTTTATCATATGACCCTCACGAAAATAAAAATAATTAAGAAAAAGAAAGCGCGCGGATTCGAGCCAGGGCCGGACGGGTTTTTCCGGCCCGCTTACGTTAGTCCGTCCGACCCCCATCACGTGACTTTTTCCAATGGTTTTATTAGAGCGCGCGAGCAGGGCCGTACGGGTCATATGATAAAGGAACTTTTCCGTAACTTTATCTTATTTATTTTTTGATCTTAAGAAAAACAGTCTGGAAATTGGTAACTTAAGAAGGTAGAATCTGTTGTTGAAGTCAACTCAATCTCTTACAAATCAGTCACGCCCCTGTACTTGAGAAAGCGTCAGCGAACCGGAACAATCATGCCACGTGATTTTGTATCCATCTATTTGACCAATTAATTGTTTTAGACTGACAGAGAGCGGAGAAGGTGAAGGTGCGACCGGCGATTTAACATCGTGAATGTACGGGTATACATGGAATATATATATATATATATATATATATAATTTTTCTTTACATCATTTATCGAACATATTCCAACTGGAACCATTGTGGAGCATATTTTCAGTGCAGTTAACATAATTTGTGTTAGTCCACCCGTAGATATAAAGCCTTGAACCTATTTAAGACACTTCAAAGTGAAAAATCCATACCCTATTCAACAAATACGAGAAATTGCATACCTAAGACCCAAAAAAACATACCCTATCTAGAGGCATATACCAGTAAAGCAGCTCTGAAACCCATTTTTTACAATAACTTACAAATTTCTCGCGCGCTGATTGGCTGATTTTTAAACAGGACAGACAGATAAAGATGACGTCATCAAGCGCGCGCTCTTTCCATTGGTTGTTTTGGTCGCTAGAAAAGAGACGTTTTTATCGTTTTTCTTGTTGTTTTTGTTATTGTAAAAAACAAATTGACATCAGATATTTGTGTCTGTCCTCTTATTGACGATAAATTACGTCATCACATTGTCAAGGTAGTGTGGATCCATGAGGCGTAGCCGGACACATAAAAATCTGATGTCAATTTGTTAATCTTATACGTTTTGGTCCGCTACGAAGACTAGGGCTTAAAAAATGAACTTTTTTTCTTTAGTTTTTGGAGGAGGTTGATAAGATGGAGAAGTGTGTGCTGGTTCCTAATCGTTTACAAGATATCGGTCCACGAGAACAGAAAGTACAAATATCTAACCAGGAAAATGTTGAGGAAATTGAAGGTCTACATACGCTGTTCCTTGTACTGAAGAACATAAGAAGCGAGCTTACGACTGGTAGGCAAATAGACCGCAATCTCGTACACAGAGCCTGCGTTTCATAGAAATGTATGATAATTCTAATTATAAAGCTCCTGTTATGGTATCATGGCCCGTCAAGTTTCTTAAATTTGGATGCGCGCGCAACCTTGAGAAAAAACTGACTGACTAAATGACTGACTGACCGACTAACTGACTGACTGACTGACTGACTGACTGACCGACTGACTGACTAAATGACTGACTGACTAAATGACTGACTGACCGACTGACTGACTGAATGACTGACTGACTGACTGACCGACTTAAACATGGGATAAATAAAATCATACCTGCGATACTGAGCCCTC